CGTTTCGTCTCTCCTCCAAGAGACTTCTTCATCAGACTGAAGAAGTCTCTTGGAGGAGAGACGAAACGTTTCACTAAAGAAGAACCATCCAGAGGACCTACTGATTTTTTTCTACCTGGATGACTGAGATGCATCAGGACATTTACTGTCATTGCATTTTGTTCATATTCTGTGAAAAATAAAATAAATCCCAAGTCTTCTTGAAATTKTTTTGGAACATTTATGTACATGTGTGTMAGGTCTTAGTCAAGACAAAGTCKCAGTTACATCTTCAAGTGGGATAAAGTTTAGTCTTTGAGAGATGGGTCATTATCTAACTGTACATGGGTCAGTGGTGTGAATCACTGTTTCACCCAATAAAGACCGCTGCTCGATTTTCTGTTCGTAGTAAAAATATTGTAGAGGTAGTAAAAATAGGTAGTAAAAGGTAGCAAATTCAACTCTAGGATTCTTGTATAAAKCCTGAACAAAGGTTTCAACGGATGTTTTCAATAATCAAGTGGAAGAAATTTTAATCTAATAAAACATTATTTGACAGTTAATCATAAGTTAATTAACTGTTTGCATCCCTAATTTTTATATTGTTGTGCAACAAAAACCTGAACGTGTACTGTATTTCACTCAAAGCATGATATACTTTATGAGAGCTCATAAGATACATAAATACTTGACTGGTTACTCTGATCTTAAAAATCAACAACCTTTTGTTCCTGCTGGCCACTCCGTGTGCYTTGTTGGTATTTTTCATAGTGCACAGAAAATAAACATCATTGCACAACACGGGTTCTGTACATCACCTGTACAGTTAACAATCTGACTTTCCCACTGGTCTTAAAACTTCACACATGTTGTGATGCTGATGACTGACTCTGTGTGTGTCCAGGACCAGACGCCTGAGGGCCCGAGGGCTTAGTCTCCAGCAGAGAGATCAGAGGAGTTCACAGGATCTAAAGTCAATGAGAACATCATGAGGTTCCCACTCTGCTGGACAGGACACAGGTGAATTTAAACACATCCTCTCTCAGAGCCCAGGTTAGGTAACCATGACTCYGTTCTGTCTGTCCTCTTTTCAAAGCCAGGTCACTCATGGTGCAGTTTGTTGTTTCAGTTTGGAGACTTTGCAGAGATGATTACATTTTTATACACCCATTCTAAGAGGAGTCCATCTGTTCTTTTTTCTGCTAGAGCCATATTTAAAAAAAATCAGGATTAATTGTGGTATTTAGCCAATAACAATTAATATGACAATCCCCTGGAGTCCCTGGACCCCTYCATATCCTAGTCACATGACCAATTTAAARCACTCTAMTGGTCTATCATCTAGTAGTTARGAWGAARTATTTACAGAATTTTAWTTATCATTTTTTAATGTTTGTCATATTTGAAGCGCAGGGACAGATTKATGGAAATAACACCTCAGTCCACCCTGTAGTCTCACAATTAATTTTACCTAAAGAAAATGTTACATTTACATGACATCATGGATCAGTCAGCAGCAGCATCTGATCAATATGTGATCCATGATGTCATGTAAATGTAACATTTTATACATATAGGTCAAATTAATCACTTCAATAAAATAACTTTGTGTGTTTTTGTCACTTTTACAGTGGATTGCATCAACTCTGTTACATCCAGAAGGGAAACTTCACC